GGAATTATTATTATAATTTTTGAGCGACAAACACCCGGAATGAATAAACGCTGATGCAAATATTTAAAGTCATACTGTGGAACATAACAAATCTACGGAGATAAGCAGGTATCGACCCCCACGAGAAAAGTTGCGCAGCGTAGCTTTAATGATGTCACTATTTTTGTTATAAAAGGGCTTCGGTTTACGATTACAACTATTTAAAATACTGTACATAGATTTTATATTTCGACAAATGACAAACGAGCAGCGGCTGTTCTTTCTCCCGTCGCTCCTCGGAGCAGCAGCAGGGGGCGACAGCGGTTATTAAAACTGTAAACAACAACAACATTTGGACAAACAAAGAAGTACCTCTCCAAATGATCCTTTTCCGATTCGGTCTAATTTTGTGAACAGCTCCTCCGGGTCGATCTGAGTGCTCTGGAAAACAAAAAGAAGAAAGAAAAGGGCAGAAATGTTAAAGGTTGTATAGAGGATTTTCCAAGGAACGAGAAATCCAGCGACTGTTTGTCCTTTTTCAAATGTTGCTCCTGCGTGAGTCCTGGTTCAGTCCTGGTTCAGTCCTGGTTCAGTCCTGGTTCAGTCCTGGTTCAGTCCTGGTTCAGTCCGTACGCGGTGCAAAAGTCCGACATCTCAGTCACTGAAGTCACGTAAACAGGAAACGACCGTTATCCATTTTTTCCATTCTTCATTTAAACACAAAATCGAAAACTGAAAAAACGAATCATTATCTGTTTTTTCATTTTGGTTTTGGAGACAAATAATGAAGAAAACTGTTGTTTTTTTCCATTTTCTTATTTTTGGTTTTATAATGAAAAACTAATGAACGACTGACACAGATTTCAGAATCCATCAGTTTAATGACTCGTGTGTGTCTTTGTTATTGATCCGTGTGTTTTTAATATCAGCACTAACAGAGTGTCTCGGTTGTTGGGCGACAGGAGCGACAGGAGCGGCCCTGTAGTCTACACCTGTCACATTTCAGCAATAGTCTTGTGTTCTGCAGAGGCAGATCGAGGGCTGCGGGCTTCTCTGCCTCAGAGGATCCTGGAGATGACGGGGTCGTGACTAGGGATGGACATGATTAATCGATAACTGATCATTAAGAATTTCATCGATTACGTTCATTTTAATCGACAAACTGAATGTATGTTTGTGTGTCGTGACCAAACAGGTGTGTACATGTGTCTCTGCATCAGAAGGAGCGAGACACAAACAGTGGGTCAGTCTGTAACGAACAGAAGCACAAATGTGGATTTAACCAGGATTTGTAGAAGAAATTCCACACTTTCCGTTGCGTTGGGACAAGTGTGAGTCCATGTGCACAGTGGATAAAGCAGCACATATGTTTCTGTGTCCAGTGGGAAAAAGTTTTTCCAGGTGAGAGTCGCTCAATGTGGATGACGAGGCCCCGCCCCCCTCCCCCCGTACGCTGTCCTGGTTTTGACAAACACAAATCTGGTCACACTGACCTGTATTCACCTGAGTCATGTCTTTTAATCCAACACAAGTTGAACCACATCAGCGACACAAGAGCTGGAGTTTTATCTTCACTTAGTTTATGTAAATTAGTGATGTGGTTTTAAGTTTTGTTTCTGTGAGATTTGAACAAAACTGAATTAAACACATTATAATGTCAAAGAGCTGATGTGGATCTAGAGTCGTTATGTTTATATGTCGTAAAGTTGAATTTATTTATGCAGATTAGTGCAGATAGTAATAATAATGATGATCATTTTAATATAAAAACGTTAATGATTAATCGATAATCGATCGTTAATTCTTCCGACGATCGATTAAGAAAATTTCATCAAATTCCCGTCACTAATTGTGACGTCATCGTTTCCCAAAAGCTGCGGTTTGTTCGTCCACACGACAACACGACGTCAGAGTTTGCAGATTTCTCTGCTCTGGAACACGTTCGCAAAAAACACCGTTTTTCCACCTGAAACACTGACTCCGTGCGAATAAAAGACCAGAACGAATAAAAACTTCACTGTTTTGACCAAAAAAAAACTTTGTCGTGTGGACGAGTCCTGAAAGTCCGACCACAGACACAGAAATCTGCCGTTTCTCTTTTCTGTCGTATTTTCCTCTTTTTTTTGTTTGATAAAGACGTCGTGTGTTTGTTATTTGTCCAAACCAAAAAAAAACACACGAACAATATAAAAATAAGTTTAATTTTCGACACAAAAGTCACAGCGGCTCAAGTCCGGACAGAACAGAAGTGAAAACAAAAAGTGATTTGTCGTTCGCTGACGATTGTTTCCAGAAATAGACTTTGGTTTAGTTTTATTTTGTTTACAGTTTCGTCACTTTTGACCCCGACTTCCTGCCCCAGAATAAAAGACTGAAAGAAAAAAACAGAAGAACAACTCACACCAGAGAAGAGAGAGAGAGAGACAGAGAAGAGAGAGAGAGAAAAGAGAGAGAGAGAGAGAGAAAAGAGAGAGAGAACAAAAGAGAAGAGAGAGAGAGAGAGAGAGAGAGAAAAGAGAGAGAGAGAGAGAGAGAGAGAGAAGAGAGAGAGAGGGAGAGAGGGAGGGAGGGAGAGAAAGAAGAAAAGGAGAGGAAAAAGAGGGAGAGAGTGAAGAAAACAAAGCTGGAAACTGGAGAAAGGGAAAGAGAGAGAGACAGAGAGAGAGAGGGGAGAAAGAGAGAAAAAGAAAAAAGAAAGTGAGAGAGAAAGAAAAAGGAGAGAGGGGAGAGAGAAAGAGAAAAAAAGGAAAGAAAAAAAAGAGAAACAGGAGAGACAGAGAGAGAGAGAGTGAGCCGGAGAAAAGGAGAGGAAAAAGGAGAGAAAGGAGTGAAGAAGAGGAAGAGAGAGGAGAAGACGAGAGAAAAGTGAGAGGAGAGAAGGAAGAGAAAAGAAAGGAGAGAGAAGGAAAGAGAGAGAGAAGAGAGAGAGACAGGAGAGAGAGAGAGAGCGAGAGAGAGAGAAAAGAGAAGGAAAAGAGAGAGAGTGAAGAAAACACAGCTCAAAGGAGAAAAGGAAAGAGAGAGAGAGAAGAGAAGAGAGAAGGAGAGAGAAAAGGAAGAGGAAAGAGGAGAAGAGGAGAAGAGGAGAGGAGGAAAAAGAACAATAGAGAAAAAGAGAAAAAGGAGAGAGAGGAGAAAGACAGAAAAAGGAAAGAAAGAAAGAGAAACAGGAGAGAAAGGGAGGAGAGAGAGAGAGAGAGCGGAAAAGGAGAGGAAAAGAGGGAGAGTGAACATAACACAGCCATAAACTGGAGAAAGGAGAGAAGAGGAGAAGAGAAGAAAGAGAGAAAGGAGAGAGGAGAAGAGGAGAGACAGAGACAGAGAGAAGAGAGAGAGAGCGGAAGGAGAGGAAAAGAGGGAGAGAGTGAACAAAACACAGCTGCAAACTAGAGAAAACGGAAAGAGAGAGAGAGAGAGAGAGAAAGAGAGAGAGGAGAGAGAGGAGAGAGAAAGAAAGGAAAGAGGAGAGTGAGAGAAGAAAAGAAAGCAAGGAAAAAGAGAAAAAGGGAGAAAGGAGAAAGACAGAAAAAAGGGAAAGAAAGAGAAACAGAGAGAGAGAGAAGAGGAGAGAGAGAAGAGAGTCATAAAGATTAAAGGAGGGGAGGAGGAGGAGGAGGAGGAGGAAGTGAGTGACAGTTGGAGTGAAGAGGAAGTTCACTCTCACAATTATCTCCTGTTTTTTACTTTCAGGCTTTTCCTAAACTCACAAACTCCACAAGTGTGAAAGAGAAAGATAAGAAGAGAAGAAGATAAGAAGAGAGGAGAAGAGGAGGAGAGGAGAGAAGAGGAGGAGAAGAGGAAAACTATTTTAAACACGATGAAGTCAATAATAACACAGATACTTTGGGTTTATTTCTGTTTCTCACTGGGGGTTGCCAAATATAAAGTCAAAATGATGGAGAATCAGACACTAATCGAGACTAAAACGAGTGAAACCAGATCCTCGTTTTCGCAGGTGTCGGTACTAAAACTGAAGAAGTTCCACTGACCAGGACCGGACCGGACCAGAACGGACCAGAACAGACCTGACCTGACCAGACCTGACCAGACCAACCAGAACAGACCAGACCTGACCAGACCTGACCTGACCGACCTGACTGACCTGACAGACCTGACCTGACCAGAGACCAGACCCAGACTTGACCTGACTTGACCTGACCTGAACAGACAGAACAGAACCTTTATGTGTGTTTGTGTTTAGAACAAACTGGAACTGGATCAGAACAAGAATAAAAGCAGAGACTAGAACACACATGGACCTGGTTTAGACCTGGTTTAGTCCTGGTTTAGACCTGGTGTAGTCCAGGTTTAGTCCTGGTTTAGTTCTGATATAGTTTAGTCCAGGTTTTAGACCTGGTTTTGTTTAGTCCTGTTTTAGGATGGTAGTCCTGGTTTAGGTCCTTTAGTTTTAGTTTAGACCTGTTTAGTCCTGTTTTAGTCCTGGTTTAGTCCTGGTTTAGTCCTGGTTTAGACCTGGTTTGGACCTGGTTTAGTCTGGTTTAACCTGTTTAGACCTGAGTCCTGTTTAGTTGGTTAGTCCTGGTTTAGTCCTGTCCTGGGTTAGTCCTTGTTTAGTCCTGGTTTAGTCCTGGTTTAGTTCTGGTTTAGTCCTGGTTAGTCCTGGTTTTTAGTCCTGGTTTAGTCCTGGTTTAGTCTGGTTTAGTCTGGTTTAGTCCTGCTTAGTCCTGGTTTTAGTCCTGGTTTAGTCCTGGTTTAGAGTCTGGTTTAGTCCTGGTCCACTGAGGGATCACACAGATATAAAACCGCATGGCATAAAAAATAAAATTCAGTTTAACCATTTAATTTGGAAAATCACCGGATCATCTAAAAAAAACGGTTTTATTTTCATTGTGGGATCAGTATCGAGTATCGAGTATCGAGTATCGAGTATCGAATCTTTTCCGTAGTATCAAAACTGAGTGATTCCCAATTAAAACACAACCACATTTTAAGGACAATCACGTAAAGTTGAATTATGTAAAGTTTATTTCCCCTCCAAGGAGATGTTATTGGTTTTGTCTGGAATGTTCCACAGTACGACATTAAACCTTTCTATCTCCACGGAGACCAAACCAGACCAAGTTCCGGGTCAGATCTGTGGAGAGGCGTCAGAATTCCAATTTTTCTAGGTATTTTTGAGCCGTAAAACCTGCACCTGCGATTAGAATAAACGTAAAGTCGAGCTGTTTAAAGTCACGCTGCGGAACATTCCAGACAGAAGCGACGACGTCTCCACGGAAACAACCCAAAAGTTACACAGCGCAGCTTTAGTAAAAACACAAATAAGCGTCACATCCGAAAGCAAAATGAGGAAGGCGACGGATTGAGAGCTGAAAATGAAAAAACACAAAACTCTTGACACAAACATCTCCGTGGAAACCAAAAAGCTACACAGTGCAGCTTTAAATAAATAACAAAACCGAGCGCTTCTTCCACCGCAG